GTCCTTTTGTAAACTTCCAGTTGCCCTTTCGAACATCGCACGGACTCCCTCTCTCTCTCTCATTTAACAACATAGGTGCCCAAATGCTTTCATGGCCCCTGGCACCCCCATTTTCCCCTTCACATCGAGTCACAGCCTTCACCTTCTCTGCGCGTCTTTCCGCCTCTCCTGCTGCCTTGTCCACCAGCGACCACTCAGCTTGCTGTGCGAGGCGGGGGCGGTCCTCAGTGAAGACTAGAAGATGGCTAGCGCTCCACGATGCTCTAATTAGATACTAGTTGCGCAATCCAAAAAAAAGTAATTAACAAATCAAAACGATGAAACCGGCAGAGCTACCTTGGAGCTACATACTTACAGTAGACATTGTCGTGATCACATACATGGGGTTTTGAAGGTGACCGAACTGAAGCAGGAAATCATCTGCAGTTTTTTCTCGTGGTGGCATGACCACAAAAAAGGCAAACCCTGTCACATGGTTGTTTTCTCTGAAGGCCTGAAGGCACTTCACTTCATCCGGGGCTCCATGTAATGAATCCAAAAGACCTCAGCTTTGGACGCCTCTCGCACCGAAGCCCCTCGCAGCCTTGTGCGCGCCGCGCCCGGCGTCACGGTCACCGGCGCAGCGGAGGAAGCGCTGCAACGTTCCAGTGGAGCGAAACCTGGGCGCTCGTCCAAACGGAGGACCAGCTTGAAGCCCTGAAGGGAAGAAGATGGAAATTGATTAAAACAGGTTGGGACAATACTCAGATATAATCAGCGTTAAGGAGTTTGTAAGTCTTGAGTGTTTGATGTTTATACCGCCCCCATCCGCCCCCTCGTAGTGTTCCTAATTTCAACCTATTTCACAGACTTGGGCCCTGCAAGGTGCAACCAGCTACGATGTTTTATAATGGATGTGCCTGCTATACTCCAAACAAACTCACAAGTTTCGAAATCAATTTGTTCTCTCGTCTAGGCACGCTCTTTCAGCTTCAGCAACGAGGCTTCCAATTCCGCCACCAGCTGCTCCACAGAGCCACTGAGCTCTTGCCGCTCCCCCAGCTTTCCAAGGTCGACGAGGTCTTTGGGACGTCGCGGGCAGTCGGAGGGCTCCTGGCAGCTGGTGCTGCGGGGAGGGGATGGCATTGAACAACTTTGAAAAGTTTCAACGTTCATATATCAGTTGAGGTTGAGAAACAAAAATGGCTCAACAAAAACTATCCAAACATAAGTTTCCTGTATCATGATCCCCGAGATGGTCGACTTATAAGAGATTTGAAATATAAAAGCTGGATGCTGACTAACTGCCTAAGCACACCAGTGGTGTCTTGGACATGCGACCAGAACGTGCAATCATTTTTACTAGGTTACTAGGCAATGTAGAAGGTAGATAACATCTGTATATACAGGTCACAGGCCTTTTCGCTTTCCCATGCATGCAATTCACGTCTGCCTCAGCTCGTCCATCTTGTAATTATCGCTGACGATGCGTGACGCAGCGTGACGATGCGCGCCGACGCGTGAGAGTGAGTTTTAGTGTGGGTGAGAGTGAGTGTGAGTGAGAGTGAGTGTGAGTGAGAGTGAAGGTGAGTGAGTGCGGGCGGGAGTGGGAGTGAGTGAGAGTGGGAGTGAGTGTGAATGAGAGTGAGAGTGAGAGTGAGAGTGGGTGAGAGTGAGGGCGAGTGCGAGTTTGAGTGTGTTTGTGAGTGAGTGAGAATGAGAGTGAGTGTGGAGTGTGAGTGTGAGTGAGAGTGAGTGTGAATGTGAGTGAAGAGTGAGTGTGAGTGTGAGCGTGTGTGTGTGTGAGAGAGAGAGTGAGAGTTGTTCTTTCTTCTCTTGCTTTGAAAGCCGTAAAGATTGATGTAATACGTTCTGCATGCGTCTCCATGCGTCTTCGTACCTCTTCATGCGTCTTCATGTGTCTTCGTACCTCTTCATGCGTCTTCATGCGTCTTCGTCGATACTTGGGACCCCTCTATCGCCAACAATGGGATTGTCAAGCGTCCACGCAAGCGGCTACAGCTGTAGAACACACGTGAAAATGTGGCAACCAGTCTTGCAAGTTCACTGGGCCTAAAGTAGGATCTCAGCAAGGCCAACTTCGTCTTCAGATTCTTCTCAATACTGAGTCCAAGCAATTGAGGAAGACTTGCGACTTGGTTTGTCAACTCCTTTCTGCTCAAGCCCACCCCCAGTAGCCCATTCAAATTGGGTTTCAAGTTTTGTTCGATGCTGTAGCCAAGAACTTGCCGGAAACCTGCCACTGCTTTTCCAACCTGCATCTTGTTAAGGCCCACGCCCAGCAGCCACTCCTCTGTGGGCTTCACGTTGTGTTCGATGCTGCAGATTTGCGGGAAACCTGCCACTGCTTTTGCTACCTGCCTCTTGTTAAGGCCCAAGTCCAGCAGCCATTCCACGATGGGCTTCAAGTTTTTTCGACGCTGCGCCCAAGAATTTGCGGGATGCCTGCCATGCTTTTGCAACCTGCCTTGTAAGGCCCCAGTCCAGCAGCCACTCCACTGTGGGCTTCAAGTTTGTTTTGTTCGATGCCACTGCTTTTGCAACCTGCCTCTTGTTATAAGGCCCAAGTCCAGCAGCCGCTCCACCGTGGGCTTCAAGTTTTGTTTGGCGCTGAAGCCAAGAATTGGCGGAGAAACTGCCATTGCTTTTGCAACCTGTCTCTTGTCAAGGCCCAAGTCCAGCAGCCACTCCGCTGTGGGCTTCAAGTTTGGGTCGATGCTGCAGCCAAGAATTGGCGGAGAAACTGCTATTGCTTTTGCAACCTGTCTCTCGTCAAGGCCCAAGTCCAGCAGCCACTCTACTGTGGGCTTCAAGTTTAGGTCGATGCTGCAGCCAAGAATTGGCGGAAAAACTGCTATTGCTTTCGCAGCCTGTCTCTTGTCAAGGCCCAAGTCCAGCAGCCACTCCACTGTGGGCTTCAAGTTTTGGTCGATGCTGCAGCCAAGAATTGGCGGAGAAACTGCTCTCGCTTTTGCAATGTGTCTCTTGCCGAGGCCCAAGTTGAGCAGCCACTCCACTGGGCTTCAAGGATTTGTCGATGCTGCAGCCAAGAATTGGCGGAGAAATTGCTATTGCTTTTGCAACCTGTTTGTTGTCAAGGCCTAAGTCCAGCAGCCACTCCACTGCGGGCTTCAAGTTTTGGTCGGTGCTGCAGCCAAGAATTGGCGGAGAAACTGCCATTGCTTTTGCAACCTGTCTCTTGTCAAGGCCCAAGTTGAGCAGCCACACTGTGGGCGCTGCAGCCAAGAATTGGCGGAGAAACTGCTGTGCTTTTGCAACATGTCTCTTGTCAAGGCCCAAGTGCAGCAGCCATGTCACTTTTGGTGCCAGGTTTAGTTGGATGTTCGTGCACAGTTTGCTGCTTGCCGTGATCAATCTGATATCTTCTGGATGAAAGCCTAGTGCCTAATCTGCTTCAAAACACTCGGCCTTATGGCCTGTCCAAGCCCAGCCAGCATATGCACATCCACACTCTGCAAAGTTCTCAACTGCTGTTCCTGCTCTTCGCCTTGTCGCCATGTACCCACGGTGATCCACAGTGTAGTATGCATTGCATGACTGATTCGCACAACAAATCAAAGGATCCTTCAGGAGCATATGCCAGTTCTTCTTCTGATCGTTCTCAAGCTCTTCTTTTTCCACATCCCTCCAGAATCCATCGCATTCCACAAACAGTGCTGCATCCTTGTCTGCCAAAGCTCCATGCACTGCCAAATCAGGCTCTAAGGAGTGCCCTTTAATACCTTAAACCCTTCCGGTGGTGGGAAGCTCCGAAAATGCTGCCCAATGGCAGTCTTCGGCATCAACAGCACTGCCAGCTGCGACAACAGTTCTGCTTCTGCCGCACTCCCCGCTCTTCCCCTTGGCCATCCTTTCCACTGCAGCACATAGGCCACAGGCAAGGAAGGAAGAAGCGGCCACCACACACGGTTCATGCGCATTGAATTAGCTCACACTGGTGCCACCGAGTGGCCACCTACTTTGAACCAGGGATCGGCTGAGCGATCATGAGTGAATTGCGGATACCCCCAGTTACTTTCGTTTGGGAACACGGTGTGGACTAACCATCCAATGCAATTCTTTGTGGGTTGAAAGTGAAACGTATGCGACAGTTCAGCGGCAAAATTAGCTTGTTTAGGAGCAAAAAATCAACACTCATTGTCGGGCTCAGGTTGGACCAGGTTGGATCATTGCTTTCGGCCCTGGACCTACACCCTGATGCAACACTGGCAAACCTGTGTTCAACGCTGTGGGTAACCTAATGTGGTATGAGGGATGGTTGAATTCTGCACCCACACCTCCTGTTGAAAGAAGACATCTAAACAAGACCAAAAAGAAGCCTACAAGAAACCTTGTTTGAGGCTTCGACTTTAGCTTAATTGTGCCAAAAAGCTCTCAGTCACATCAAAAAAATGCTTTTCATCGGATTCGGTCTCCTTAGCACCGGTCGACAGAGCCGACCCGGTCAAGCCCTCTGCAACCAACAGCAGATCCGGCGAGGCTTTGTCGCCGGTCTGGATGGTGTCTGTCCACGCTGGACTGGAGGCTCTGTCCTCAGATCTGCAAGGACCAAGTGTCCTGAGGAGCCTGGACAATTGTTGTTTATAATGTTTGTTCGACAAACATGTTCGCTCAAGTCATTATTCTAGCCGGGCAACTCCGACTTCGTACAACGCTTCTGAGAGTACAGAAAACAAAACCAATGCCACCAGATTTCCACCAGGGTAAAGATGGTAAAGTTGTACCAAAGCTCTTCCAGTTCAATTCCTTATATATCTTAACAAACTCTATTCTCAAAGCTGCCTCTGAAGCTGGACCTCGGCAAGCGTCGGATTTCAGTCCCTTCACCTCACGAAAGACTTCCTCAATGCGGAGTGTCAAATCTCGAAAGCGATCTTCGCACAGGTCCTCGGGAGCGGGGGATGCCCTTGGCGATGCTCGGGATCGGAATCCGGGATCGGAGCCGAGGATAGAAAACCAGAACAGCCCCCTTGTCAATCTGGGTTACTAAGGGTCACCATCCCCAACTCTTGGGGTACTGCAGAACACTCCTTGATGTCCTGTAGATGGGTCCTGGCAGTTGAGAGTAAGTACATAATATGTAAGTACTAAGTCTCCACTACCATGGCGCAAACCTTCCAGCCCATTCAAAGCTCCCCCATCCGGTGACCCTTAGTGACCATTACGCTGAACCAGGAGATCCCCGAGGGGGGCATGTTTTAAACAGGTCAGCCTGCAAGATGAGCATCCATCAGAACATCTCTGAATCGGACCGCACAGAATGGCCCACCCCGGCAAAGAAATCTCAGGTTTAGGCGGTTTAGGTGGCGATTTCTTTCCAGCCCCAGAAGCATACAGATCTTCTTGACTTCTCATGGACTGCATGAAGTTGTACTTGATGAACCGTGGTGTCCTCTTGGAATCGTGTGCAAAGCAGCTGAGGCAACTCACAAAATCTGAGGCCTCAATGGCACCACGACCTCAGATCGTAAGGGAGATCCCAAGTCCCCTCCAGGCCTGTGGGACCATGACATCAGCTTCCACAAACTGTGGGCTTTGAGGGAGACCAGTGAGATCCCTACGCATCCTAGGTCTGCTTTTGGGGGACATCAGGGGACCTATCTTATGTGTGGAGTGTCCCAACAGGGCTGAATGGAATGTAGGCTTGACTATCCTGACATGAATAGTAGATATATGTAGATATTTGATATTTCTGTCCCAAAACATCCCAAAACTGTTTGTAATGTCCTGAGCCTGTAGAAACTGGGTGGTTCAGGGTCTCTCTCATTCAATCTGGGGACGCTCCAAATTCATGGTCCAGACCTCAAAGTCCAGGCGATTGGGGATATGAAAACTACATGGAGAATCCACTGGAGATATGAGAAGTGTGACATCAAGTTTGTGCAAAGGCGCCATCCCAATCAATCATTTCGAACAACATCTGCAAGTCGCTGTCATCAAGGTCCCTCTCCTTGGAGTGTTGGACCAATGGTGCTGTCTTGATTCGTTAACATGAGTTGTGCCCAGTCGAGCATGGTACAACTCATTTGGCAAGTCAAATGCAGTTACCTGTCGAGTCCGATGACACCACACTCCGATGACAGGACTGGGAATTTTCGTGGAGGGTCGGAGTGGAAGGTAGCTTGTCGATCTGGTCAGACGGACCAGACGGATGCAGTTCCCAATATTCGCTGTGCGTTGGGTTTTCCTGCCAGCAAACGCCACAACCAACAGGTGCAAACATGCACTCTCGCCTGCGCGACGGCCGTTGTGTCCGGTCTCCTGTCAACCTTGTGGCCTCTCTTGTTGGATGAGTGACTTCCTGTGGATTTGTTGTTGTGTCCAATCGAGATCTGGGTGTCCACACAAATGACCGTCAACGGATGGTGTCCCGCTTGCTTCAACTTACAATGCACGGATGGGAAACCGATGGACACGGATGGTCCATGAAAATCATGAAGTCCCTACTACTAGCAGCGACTGTTGCACCTATCCCTTCCAATAACCAATCACAATAATAAGCTGAAAACATATATGTAATGAATTCATGCCACCCCTCACCACCATCACCCAAACCACCGTGATTCCTGAGCCCACCAAGTGGCACTCAGCCACCGTTGAACGGTGGGGTTCTGTTGAGCGAAGGACAACAGCTGCGGGAGGGCCACCTGTCGAGATCAATCCGATAAGGATGCCTGGGAACCAGCTGGGAGCCCAGCACCTTGCAGCAGTTTTTTGTGGCAATGAACATCTCATTGAGCTTAATAACATCATACAACATCACCAATAAAGTATTTAGATCTTGGCACTGTTGGACTATGGAAGTTCAATTCTTCTATACTTGCGCTATCGAGCATATGAAAGGTGTAGCCCTCCAGTGGCTGCATGATCTTCTCCGCCCTTTGTTGGTCACTGGAGCTGTGAGCTTGCCGTTTCATCTGGGGTCCCCCTGTTTCCCACACAGCACCCTCCAGACACAGCCGTAGCCCGGGCCCTTGCTGCCGTGGGTCGATGAGGGGAATACATTGGAGTACAGCTACGCTTTATCGGGTTCCTTGTATCCCAAAACAGAATTCGTTCCAAAAGAGTAAATCACATGGGGGGCTCTTGGATGGTTTTCGAACATGGAGACCGGTCACCACCGCTGCGGTCTTCACCAAGTCTCAGTTCTCCAAGGGACACTTGCTCTGACAATAGGAATGGCTAAAAGGCCAAGATACATCCGCATTCAAGTTCTTTCACTGAATGGTTTGTACGAGTGTATGCATCTTAAAGAGGGGTCAATTCCCGGTAAAACCCTCCTCCATGATGACTCATGATGCAAGAACCTTTTCGCGGGCGCCTGGCTCTGGCCAGACTGGTCGGTTTCCAGGTGTGCGAAGAGGTTTGCCAACGTCCTCCGATCCGCTTCGACCTGGGTCTACAGGGGGCGACGTCTCGTCTAGACGGCCAGTGTTGGGAGAAGGACGGAGATGAATGATAAGTCTGATAGATGGGGTCGGCGGCAGCAATAGTCTGCCCAAACTTTCGAAAGAGAACGACACTCGAGTCATTTTGTGACTCAGACTCGGTGACCGTTTAAATCCACAAGGAAGGTCCTGGTGGGCATATCTGGTGGATTCTGGTGGGATGTCTGGCTGGTGCATTGACGTCCAAAACCGAGCCCGTCCATCCGCCTGGTCAACGCGTTCGACCCTTAATCTCCAAGTCGCTTCACTGGCTCGGTCGTTGTCCTGAAAGCTGTGCACCACCAAGGCCATGATCAAATTGAGCACTCCAAAAACGATCGTGAGAAAGGAGCCCACGAAAATACAGGCAGTTGCTGGATAGGTCCTGACAGGCGGCCACAAGATGACTCCATGAATCAAGTCAGGCTGCGACTATATATCATCTGTTGTAGAAAACCCGGTTGGATCAGCGAACAATAACACAGTTTCTGGTTTGAGGTATCGCTTCCTGCTGGTGCTTTCCATGTTCCAGTGTGCGAAGCAAAAGCAGCTCAAGAAGTTTGGCGCCACTACCTGATCTAAAGATCCCAATAACATCTCGCAATCGTTCAAATCTGGAGGATGATTACCATCTACATCCATCTACTGTCTACTCTTCCTATATGTAGGTATGGGCACACCTATAAGATGATTGATAAAATGACATCCATTTCAACATACACCCCTTTTCTTGAGAACCTAACCAAACAAAAAAGAATGCCGGTGACTGACTCTTGTCCCCTCCGCACCTCTGGCTTTGCCGTGCGAATTGCTTGTTTCCACTTGGCAGATTGTGTACCCCGAGAGCCTAAACCATTCGTTTTCACCTCAATCCGAGGCACTGGATCAAAGGCACCGCTAGTTCGCCCCAATCATCACCCACAATCACCGTCTGAAAGAGAAACAAGTTGGCATCCATGACCTCGATGAGACGTAAGGAGGTACTATGTATGATATTGTATGTATGTTTGTGCTGTACACGACCGTAAAGACGGCTTGGACACCCTGCGAAACCTCATGTAGTTCTGCCTTCTAATTACTAATAATGTATACATAAATAATCTAGAAACCAGTGGGCATTTATTCTCAATTCTTCTTGGCCTGAGGACTGTCCAGTGTAAAAGCAGCAAAGCAAAGAAGTACATGGAGAAAGGTGAGAGGTAATAAAGTAGAGAAAGGCGGAAACAAGCAAAAAGCCAGTCTTGGACACAAAGAGGGTAGGTATGCCGGGTATGTTTGTCCTCACAAACACGGGTTGCGGAATCGTCCAAGTGGCTGAAGACACCGCCCGCTGGCAGCGATGGCAGTCCGAAAAGGCACCCAAGTCTTGCAGTTGTTTCACTAATGGATTGACCATCTCCACCAACAGCCTCGTGGAAGGGACCCGCATGGAAGAAAGGGTCTGATGACGCGTTCTCCAGCGGGATGGATGGGGAGTCATACATGTGCCAAGACAGAAAACTATAGAAATCTACCTGGCACCTCTTAACGTATGGTGTCAAAGACTCTCTGAGGAGGTTGAGAGAAACATGGACCAACTAAGAACAATTAGAGCCGAAAATGGTCGAAGAATTGGGAGAGACCGAGTTCCAAAGCTACGTCGTTCCTTGGGGACGCGACAGCTGTTGTTCTGCTCGGCCGGTTGCGCGCCGGTAGCAGGGGTCCTCCACGTGGATGACCGCCCTGGTTACTAGCTGTTAGAAGACTTAGTACTTAGTAAGTATAACTTAACTATAATAACATAATACAACCATACTCATAAGTTGCCTAACCATATTTATGAGTCACCCACTGAGTCACCCATATACATGCAACTACTTACTGACTTGGCCAACCACTCAGAGACCGTTACTAGACATCTAATCACTTAGAAGATTCAGCTCACATATGCTGCTACGTTGTGGAACCGACTTAGCCTACTTAATAACTGGATAGAGTGTACTTAGCTAAGTCTTCTCAGTGACTTCGGCGTGGCTTAGCTACAGTAAGTAGTAGCCTAAGTCGACCTAGCGTGCACTCAGAGTTTTGGTCCGCTCCTCGAAGACGGGGAATGAGTCATGGAGAAGTGGAAAAGCGTTTTTAAATGGAGAGGGTGATGTTTTTCTTGAAACATGAATCGATTCACCAGCCATTTGCAGGCTTAATGGGGTTTGATTTCTAGCTTGATCTGTGATATTTTTTCTCCGCCACATTCCGGTGCACCATCTCCCATGGCGTCGGACGCCGCGCGGCATGCTCCACAGGGTCATCACCCCGAAGCACATGGCGAAGGACACCATGAGCTGTTTCACCTGAAGAAGCTTGCTACTTGTAGCTTCTTGCTACTAGTAGCGATGGCCTCCAATTTACTAGCGATGGCCTCCAACCTACTGGCTTCTGAACCCACCAGAAGTCGGACAGTTGGATCAGCTGAATGTCATAGTTCGACTAGCCGCCTAGCCACAAAAGAAACAATTGGCCTAGAAGAGCGTACAAAGTCCACTGGTGATTAAAAAGCAAAGGATGGCCAAGAGGCAAAAGAGCGTACCGTAGTACGAAATTGATCTATCAGCTATCAACACCTGACTCTACAGGTCACTGGCAGAAACTGAAACAGGTATCTAAGGCCTCCATGTCCACGACCCGACCTGCTGGAGCACGCTGCTGACCCCTTGAGCATTTAACCATCAAACGATGTTTCAACATGAGTTTGAGCAAGTCTAATTATGAGTTCTAGTTCTTGGTCCTGGTTGTTTTCTTCATGAATGTTTGAGCCATAATTGTAGAAACCGCTACAACAAATCTATACAACTATATAACATAAATGTACTAAATGGTCTGCATGGATCCTTCTTCTTAGTTGTTAGGCTTCCACTGCAACAAGTCCTCTGCGCCGTCAGTTCGGATTGGATGTCCACTGGCCAAAGGAAACGGTCAGACCAAAATATCTCCGGACAAAGAACTTGAGCCAGTGGAATCTTGACATGATCGACATCGCCTACCAAACATGGGTCAGCTTCATCAGGCTTCGGAGAGACGGGCAAGGCGAACTATGCGAATGTGAAAAAAACAAAAAAATTGACAAAACCCGACCAAACTGAGATCGTCGAGTCACACAGAAGGTAATCTTCTTCACGAGGTTCTGAAGCTCAGGAATCCTTGGAATCCAAATGACCATCTCTTTTCACAACAAGAACGCTGAGAACACCCAAAAACCATGGGTTTGGGCCAGGAAATCATGAGGCATCACCATGGCGGCCGGCTGGGACTCACTGGTCCCGAAAAACTGCAAAAGGTGGCCGGGCAACCACTTGCGCGCTGGGAATTTACGTCTCTTGCGCACTGGACGTCACTTGCGCACTGGGCATCAATCACTTGTGCACTTACCTGCTTCCTAGCTGCGGGGTGGGGCCTACTCCACATGCAACGAATGAGTGGGTTGGGGGGGGGGGGGGGGGGGGGGGGTTGCAGTTGCCCACCGTACAATGTGACTCTGAAGTGCTGAAAGGGTTGGCAGGTTGGACAAGGTCAACATCTTTACACCCACACACACACACTTAGGTTTGATTGCCTTTCAAAGCACACTTCTGCCACGCAAACTCACCTGCGCGCGCAAACTAATGAGTGGGTTGGGGTGGGGGTTGAGGGGGGTTGAAGTTGCCCACCATACAATGTGACTCTGAAGTGCTGAAAGGGTTGGCAGATTGAACAAGGTCAACATCTTTAAGTTCCTACACACTCTCACGCTTTGATTGCCTTTCAAAGCACACTTCTGCCACGCAAGCTCACCTGCGCGCGCAAACTAATGAGCGGGTTGGGGTGGGGGGTGGGGGGGTGAGGGGTAAGTTCCCCAAAGTGGCAGTAGAGGATACTGGACCTGATCGAGTACACCAAGAAAGACCCAATCTCACGCGAGTGTGCGAGTGGCAGCGATGCACACTTTTCTCTATGGCACAGAGTGCAGTAGTGGGCTTCAAAGTCTTGAGCCAAATGAATTAAGCGGCAGCTGACTGGTATATACAAACTAACTACGGACAACAGGTGCTACACACGTATAGCGTAGACACGCCTAGGGGAGCCTAGGACCCTACAAAACACAAACAGACACAAATGTTCTTCGTGTCGAAGCTTACGGCTGCAAAAGGTACAAAAGCTTGCAGAAGCAAAAGCATGCACATGAATTACAAAAGTTCTGGCTTCGCAGAACTTGACCGTAGATGCCATTCTGGCTCGTAGATCTATAACGTCAGACTATCTACAAAATCTACGAAAGGCATATCTTGATGTAAACCTTGCTCCTAGTAGCGTCCTTGCTCCTAGTAGCAATGCCAGGAGCCCCTAGTAGCGTCCTTGCATGTCCTTGCTCCTAGTAGCAATGCCAGGAGCCCCTAGTAGCCCCTAGTAGCGTCCTTGCTCCTAGTAGCGATGCCAGGAGCCCCTGGTAGCATCCTTGCTCACAACGGTCAAGTGCACAAGCGACTAAAATTTCCAGTGCACAAGCGACAAGAATTTCAAGTGCACAAGCGATTGCTCGCCCGCAACAAAAGGTGAGCATGGCTCAGAATTGGTTATTTCGCGGCCAGGCCTCGCTGAAAGTGGTGAGGACCCGGTCTAGTTGCGCTTGGAGGAGGGGGTCGCCGCCCAAAAGACCACCCACCATCTCGAAAAAGAAAAGGACCGATATTAAAGAAAAAAATGATGCCCGGTGGCACCCTTCACCTCCTGGGGATTCTGAGGTTCAGCTCCGCCAGGACAACACACTCACCGTTCCCGCCATGATGTCTTTCAGCATTGTGGGGGCTTCAAACGAGGCAACTTGCTGCTGGGCCTCGGGAGCTTCCAGAAGACACGCAGCAATCGCAGCAGCCGGACCACTTCAAAGAGTCTCAGCCATTCCTCGGGGTGAGAATTAGGGAGGGAACGCCTTGGGCACTTCTGAAAGTAGTAGTATTCTTCTTCTTCTTCTTCTTCTTCTTCTGCTTCTTCTTCTTCTTCACCGGTTCTTTTGGGGGCCCACCTTTCAGGATGGAAGTTCCCACAGTGAATCGCACAGCTTCTTTGGAGCTTTGTCACACCAGGGTCGGGAGGATCTTGAGGACACCCGTGCGACATCCGGTTTCCTCACGGTGCCAAGCAACATGAGGCAAGGCAGCTGACAACACGAGCTCGACGAGGCCAGAAATGACGACCGCAAAAAGGAAGAGGTGATCCCGCAGGATACTGAAACCTCCCAGGTGCAGAAAAGACGTCACAACACTCGACGGGGAGGAGATGGAGGAGAGGGTGATTTCCAGTGATGACGGGAGAACACTCAAGGTGATCCAAGCTCTGAAAAATGTTGCCTTCGTCAAAGCTTTGGGTTGAAATCCATGTTTCAGCCCAATCCCTGGATCCCAACCTTCCAAGCAAATGTAGAGCAGTAGTTCCCCACAATAGACCAACCAGCAGAAGTGCGACAGCATGACCCAGGCTGGAGAAGGCGTCATGCTGGCAGCGCGGTGGTCGATCATCACGCAGGCGGCCAAGCCATCAAGGAGGAGGACCAAAGCCAGGAAGCTCTGGCATGGCCTCGTCAAGCTGAGGCGGATGAAGCGTGAAGCACTAGGACCCCGGCAGGAGGTCTTGGGCATTTAAGAAGGGTAGGGTAGTACTTCTCACCAATAGAGTTACACTAACTGAAATAGTCATGGAAGTAGAAGACCACCTACTTCGGATTTCATGGTCATCCGAGGCCATGCCATGATGAAATTAGGATGATATATGTATGGAAGGGATCCCTGTGTCTTTTTCCACTCGCCACAGAACGATCACCAGGGAAAGCAAGCGCCAAAGCATCCTTGATGGATTCATCTCCATTCCGATGCTGATCACGCGTGAAAAGAGCTGGGTGGAAAGGAAGATCAAACATGTGACTCAAAGTGCCCGAGGTTTCATAAGGGG